TAAAATAGCGTTGCTATTCGAAGCTATAGCTGAGCAATTTAGCAGCGCTAAAACGTAATATAATGGTTGTAGCTGTACACAGCTGTAAAAATAGCAATAACTTAGCATTGGCTCTCTTCAGAAGCTATAACGGTGCTCGTTGTAGCCTACTATTTAAAATCATGGTTTCTAATGATGAGCGTGCCATTTTTCTCAATAGTTGGAGGTGTGTTTGTGCCTCGAATACATTACATTCATGTGGGTATGCTAGATACAAATTAACATGTCCGAATATATGCCGATGCATTGCCCCACTTTACTCAAAAAATATTGATTGATAATACACAAGAAACGGTTTTTTTGTCTTAGAAAAAATAAGACATACAAAAAAAAATCTGAATCCGACACCTGAGTGTCAGAGAGGCTCCCAACACTTGAGGTAATAAATTTTTTTTCACCATCCTACTTTAAGTTCTATTGGCTCAAATTACATCTAACTTTGTGCTAAAAAAACAGGTTTTATTGAAGGCTGTACCACCCTAATTTTTATTTTACCATATTCATTTAAATTACACAAAAAAATTGATTGTAACTCATGTGTAAAATAACCATGATTTCAATACACCTAGCTGTACCTAAGAAACTAGCAAAACTCATGCGGGAAGCCATCATAAAGCATAAATTCTTTTGCCGTCCTTTCTTAAAAATAATACGTGAGAATGCATAGCATAAATACAGATTTTTTTTATATAGGTTAAGTAACTTATTATTTAGCGAAGGTTGACTGGCTTTTAAGAGTGGCCTAAATTTAACCTTTTGATCTATTGCTGGGATGGATGAACTCAGACCGCCAATACATAGAGCTTGACGAAACCTTTCCGTTGGACTATTTACACGTAGTATTTGAAGTTTGGACGGTGGAGTTACGAGCAACTTAAATTAGGAAGGAAACCAAAGTGGCGCTACAGTACCCGACCTGGTACAGTAGCCCGAGTGCTTTTGGCTTGAATGAGCAGAGGCCGTTTTCTTTTCACATGTTTTCCTCTCGGCGCACCCTTTTGTTTCTTTTCTGCCAAGCAAGTCTCATTCTGCCCTCTCCTCGATCCCAAAACACGCTTTATCCTACCAGCGCCTCCGCCTCTCAATCTTGTGTGCACGGGAGAAATCAACTTGAGAATGGAGAAGGATTAAGGCTCAACCCCCCCCTAAAAAAAACCGGTTTGGCGCCTCCTCACCTATCTGTTTTCCTCTCAATTTCTTGGTTCCTCTTGCCGTTCATGATAGTCATATCACATTTGCGCATAGATTAGAACAGCTAGACCGTCGTAGCGGCATGGATCATCGTGAGGTGGAGAAAAGCAAGGAAGAAAGAAGTGGATCGCCTAGGGCATCCATGCCAAATGCTAATCCACTTCTTTGGATCAAGTTTTGAGGACTAAGTCGTTTGTTTAGAAGGGATTTAGTTGGAGTAATGCTGAAATTAATCTTGTTCATGTTTTAAAATCCCGTTAGACCATACAATTTCTGTTCATTTTTATTTTAGGATATCGTAATGGCCTTAATAAATTCATGCTGTGTCTGTGTACCCTTACTGCCTTCCTGACGATACCTCAACGTGGTAGTTGTGGCCTGTATGTTTAGCATATGGTGAAGAACTCGGCATGATTCCTAAAATGATATGATTCAGATGTGTACCCTTACCAGCTGGTTAACATCATCAAGGGGAGGTCGATTTCTGAAAATTTTGTATACGCTGCTGAACTGGTCCAATGAAGCCACTATCGAAAGGTCCCCACTCTAGTGCTCAAACTTGATTTTGCAAAGGCATTTGACTGGGTACTATGGAGCAGCCTGAGGGCGATCATGGAAGCAAGGGGTTTCGGTCCATCTGGTGCAACTGGATAAAAAAACTCCCGACCACCTCCAAGTCTGCAGTTCTGGTGAACGGTTGCCCCGGGCCTTGGATTCAGTGTGAGCGAGGTTTGAGGCAGGGCGGTGCTCTGTCTCCGTACCTTTTTCTCCTTGTTGCCGACGTGCTGCGGGCAATGATATAGGAAGATGGCTTCATCCGACATCCAATTGCCGACGCCGCATGCCCTGTGCTCCAATACGCGGACGATACACTAATCATCCTTTGAGTTGACAATGCGGATGTCAGCAGCCTCAAAGCCATCCGAGATCAGTTTGCTATGGCTACAGGCCTGAAGTTCAATTTTTACAATAGCACAGTTGTCCCTATTGGAGGATTAACTCAACTCAATTTCCATTAATCTCATGTAGGTTTATATAGAGAGTACACGGGATACAAAGAGATAGGAAAAACATAAAATAAAGGGACTACAATTTTGTGTATCCAGTAGAGGAGCGAAGTAACTGCAGACCATAGTCCAAGGTTCCCTTGATGTAGCAGAGAACACGCTTAATCAAGGCCAGATGTGGCTCATGGGGATCATGCATATAAAGACATATCTGCTGCACTGCATACGAGATGTCCGGATGGGTAAAAGTGAGGTATTGTTGGGCGCCACTGAGAGCACGGTAGTCTGTGCGTCGGCCATGGAAGGCCCGTCAGCTGAGATCTTGGCATTCGTATCAATTGGAGTGGAACATGGCTTGCAGTCAGTCATGCCGGCACGCTCCAAAAGCTCAAGTATATAGTGACTCTGCGACAGGAACATACCATTAGGTAAAGCGACTGGATACACAAAATTCTTGCTTGCTGCTTAAGCTAATACACCGGCTCCATTACCCGGACCAATCCTCCTGGGCGCAATGGGCAAGGCAACGAGTTTCGCTGTCTGATCTGCAAGGGGATGGTTGGGGAGAATACTGGACAGCTCTAAGGTTGCTGCTGCCAGGCTATCAGGCTATCACGACAGCTGGTGTTGGCAATGGACATAATACTGGGCGATTATGTTACTTGCCTGATAGGCTGGCAGCAGCCACCTCTACTAGAACGGCTTGATTGGTTCTTTACATCGGTCAGTTGGACTACGGTTTACCCAAATGCCATAGTAACCACTTTAGCTATGAAAACTTCTGTTTGGATGAACTAGGATTAGTTGTTACCCAAATGCCATAATACTGGGCGATTATCTTAGAGTTTTCAAACTAAAAATTTTAGAAGTTCTTGTAGTCAGGATTTCAAACTTGACGAATGCACTGCAAAAAGACAACCTAAGCGATTGACTGTCTTAACCCATTGCATGGGTAAATAGTACTCCCTCTGCAGCACAGCAAACGATGGAAGAGTTGAGCCTGGTTGTTTGGCTAGCTTCTTTTGGCTAGCTGTAGCTGATGGCTGCTTTCTTGCCTACCTCAACAGTGTTTGCTAGTCATTTTTGCAGCAACAGCCAGCCACGCAGCAGCAGCCAGCCTTCCGAACATCCTGAAAAAGTTTGAACTCAACCTTGCCCAAAAATAACAAGAATTATCGAATAGATCGAACAAGGGCAGGGAGTAGCTAGGTAGCATAATGAAGTATTAATTTCTTCCAAGATGACTTGACGAATGCACCCTATGTAAAAAGACAACCTAAGCAATTGATTGTCTTAATGCATTGCATCGGTAAATAGTACTCCCTCTGCATCACCCTGACCATTCGGTTAACCTAAACCGATCGGTTCGGTTCCTCGGTTCTTTATAAAATTCGGTTAGCATAAAACTGGAACCGATCAGTTAGCTAGGAAACTTGAACCGAGGAAATTCGGTCTCGATTAGTTCGGTTCGGTTTCGGTTAGAACCAAACTAACCGAGCCATACATTACATCAGTGGAACAGAAGGGAAGAAAAAGGGGAAAAATGAAAACCGAGCCATATATTATATAACCGAGCCATACATTACATCAGCCATACAGTTCGGATCTTTTGCTATTGGGCCAATATGTACAGATTCGGTTCTTCGGTTTTGTTCGGTTAACCGAGGTCTGGAACCGAATTACCCGATATTATTTTGGTTCATGAGAACTGGGAACCGAACTAGGAACCAAAATTTTCGGTTTCGGTTCTGGTTATTTCGGCACAACAACTGATAGGGCTGGCTTCTGCTGGCTGTAGCTGCTGGCCGCTTTCTTGCCTTCCTCAACAGTGTTTGCTAGACATTTTTTTTGCAGCAACAGCGAGCCACGCAGCAGCAACCAGCCTTCCGAAGAACAAAGGATCATGGAAACGAGGCAGCCTTGGAAACGAACGTCCTTACGTTTCCAACGCCGTATGCATCTGGACATACATGTGCCTACCCTGAATAATGCACCTCTGAATGGATCAAGTTTAGGAGTGCGAAGAAGTAGAACAGCCCGTGCCTTGTGCAGCCAGCAGGGCGGACCTGCACTATTGTGAATTCCATCGATCTCAACTGAGTTGTGGCAGGAGAAACCGAGGACGATGAGGCGACCGAGACGAAAGCTGAGATATTCTCGCTCGCAGCTGTGATGCGACTCGTATACTCCGTACGAACAGTTCCATCGACAGCTTCTTGTTTGTACGGTCGTCGCGTCGTCGTCTTCCGGCCGGAACGAACTTGCAAACAATTCAGAAAGTGCAAGCTGTGCATATATGAAAATGTAAGTTCATAACTTGCGGCCAAAAGAGCTGGAGTCCTCAGAGACATCTCTTTTTTTGAAAGGGTCCTCAGAGACATCTCTCACTCGCGCAAAGCCGCAAAGGGCGCAACAACGTACGTTGTGTAGCCGTGCAGGCGTATCCGGACTTGGCTGCCTGGAGAAACCACCATTCTGAACTCAGAATGATTCGTTGAGCTGATCAAGGCAAGACTTTAGTAATCAGCTTGGACGATATCATGCATGATGCCATCGTCTTCGATGACTCCAACCAACAACGTCCCTAACCAGGGGAATGAATGGGATGCATATATAAGTAGGAGAGGCCTGATCGCTACTCATCAGTCATCACTGCCTCTCTTTCACAATTTCAGTCACTGTCATCACATCATCACCTTTCTTTCTTTCACAGTTTCAGTCACTATCAGTCGCTACCACCACTTTATCCAAGACAACAAGAGAATGGCGGCGCTCAAGCTCAACAACTGCATGACGAGCTCCTCCTTGCTGCTCGTCCTGCTCGCGCTCTGGGCCGCCCCGCTGGCCGTCGTGGCCGGGGACCCAGACATCCTGACCGACTACATCATCCCGGCAACCACAAACCCCGTGAACATCACGGGCGCGTTCTTCTCCTACTCGGGCCTCCGCGGCGCGCTGGCCTTGCAGGCGCCGGAGAACTTCACGGTGGCCAAGGCCTCCATGGCGGAGTTCCCGGCGCTGAACGGGCAGAGCGTGTCGTACGCGGTGCTCTCGTACGGGCCGGGCTCCATCAACCCCACGCACACTCACCCGCGCGCCTCTGAGCTGCTGCTCGTCCTCGACGGTGCGCTCTCCGTCGGCTTCGTCGACACCGCAGGCAACCTCTTCACGCAGGACCTCGCCGCCGGCGACATGTTCGTGTTCCCCAAGGGCACCGTGCACTGGCAGTTCAACAGTGGCACCCAGCCCGCCAAGGCGCTCTCGGCGTTCGGGAGTGCCGCCGCGGGGCTCGTCTCCCTCCCGGTCACCCTGTTCGGCGCCAGCAACATCGACGACGTCGTGCTGGCCAAGTCCTTCAAGACCGATGTGGCCACCATCCAGAAGCTGAAGGCAGGCCTCGCCCCGAAGCCATGATCGTCTATCGGCTTTGCTTTCAGCTGCTCCCGGCCCTCGCGTGCATCTTTCCCTTCTCTTTTTAATCGTCCACGTCGTCGTTCTTGAATAACCTGCCAAGGGCAATGGTGAGTAGTGATCGACCCAGTCAGCGTCATGTCATGGATCAAATATAATTTATAATCTCCACCCAACCGTCAGGTGTGATTTGTATTGTGTTGATGTGAGTTTGTTAATTACTGTAATCTATCTCAATGATAATCTCTATTACAAGTTCTAGAGTGGTTAGAAAAAATATGAACCGTCCATTAGTTTAGATCGAATGGTTCAAAATACGAAGTACCAAGAAAAAAAGTACCTGAAAGTATCAGCAAGTATCAAAACACGTGGGACCGGTATCTATAAATTTTTAGGTAATTTTTAGATATTACTAAAAAAATAAAGGGTACGTGGGCCGTGAGCTGTGGCATTGGCTGACTAGTTGCGCGCGTGGTCGACTGTACCAGCGTGGGCATCACTGGTGGAAACTGGGCCTTTGCCGAGTGTAAAAAATCGGGCGCTCGACAAAGACCTTCTTTGCCGAGTGCCTTTGCCGAGTGCCGTACTTGACAAAGAATTACATTCGCAAAGAATTCTTTATCGAGTGCTGGGCACTCGGTAAAAAAGGCACTCGACAAAGGTAGGAATTAAAAAAAATTACTTTTTTTTTGAAATACCTTTGCCGAGTGCCCCTGTGAAGGCACTCGCGAAAGAGGAAATTTCTAAAAAAATTCAAAAAACCTCTTTGCCGAACGCCTAATTCTTGGCACTCGGCAAAGACCCCCTTTGTCGAGTGCCATGCCCCGGCGCTCGGCAAAGTTTTTTTTTTTTTGCCTCCAAATTTTTTGTACAATTCTTTTAAAATACCAGGAACTCCTCGTTAGAATTTGTGGATTTTTTGTGGCTTTTTGATATATTTAGTTACTTTATTTCGTTTACTTGATTTTTTTGAAAAATATAAATTTGAACTGCACGTGGTACGAATAATGGAATTTAAAGATTCAAAAAAGGATACGACCTCACATTATACTAAATAACATGAATATCATTTTTCCATTCATTTTTTTCATTATTCGAATGACTAGCGGTTATAATTTGAATTATCCAAGAAAATTTAATTAAATGAAATCAATTAAAGAAATATAGAAAAATTTCGAGAAATGTGCCACATTGGAACATGGAGTATCAAGTATTGTATGAGGACTAAAGAAAAAGTTTGGGGCAGGAAGAAAAAAAATAAAAAGGGTTTGCCGAGTGTCAGCGTTTGGCGCTCGGCAAAGGAGCCTCTTTGCCGAGTGCTAGGACGGCTGGCACTCGGCAAAGATTTTTTTAAAAAATAAAAAAATACCCTAAAATTTAAAAAAATTAAAAAATACTTTGCCGAGTGCTAGATCGGGGGCACTCAGCAAAGAATTTTTTTTAAAAAAAATCCTCTTTGCCAAGTGCCAGGTCAGATGGCACTCGGCAGAGAATTAAAAAAATACTTTGCCGAGTGCCAGATCGGGGCTCGGCAAAGGGGGGATTTAACCCCGCTGGCCCACACACGCATGCAGGCAGCCGCCCGCTCCCGCGCCGTGCCCGCGCTGCCGAAGGAGGAGAAAGAAAGGAGGAGGAGGAGAGGAAGGAGGAAGAGAAGGAGGAGGAGGAAGAAGGAGGAAGGAGGAAGAAGAAGGAGGAGGAGGAGGAGACGCCCCGGCCACCGTTGCCACGTCCACGTCCCCGGCCGCCGTCCCTCTACACGAAGCGGCCGCGGGATTGGGTGAAGCCGAAGCCTTCAGAGCTTGGAGACTGCACCACCATCATGCTCCGGAATATCCCCAACAAGCTCAGGTAACCCGCCCCAGCGATCATCACGAGGGCACGGACATGCACACAAGCTGCATTCTTTTCTTAGCTTGTTCTTGACAAATCTTGGCCCCATAGATTCAGCGGTTTATCATGTGTGCAGGAGCGGCGATATGATCAGTTTGCTCGACGAGCAGTGCGCGCGTGCGAACAGGGCCGCCGGCTCCGTCGTCGCAGCGTACGACGTCTTGTACTTGCCCATGGATTTCAGGTGATGAATCTAGATCCTGCTTGTTTTTTTGCTGCAATTTTTTGGGGCAAGAAACTACATGAAATTAAGTCTGAAGAGAAAACGAGGGCACATCGTGTCCCTTTTAATTTTCTTCTTTTGGCACATACAAGAACGCAGATTTCAATTGTCCTTGTTCTGAGAAAAGCTATAAAGCAAAGAGGCCGAACAAGACAATAAAATTTCATAGTAATGTAGAATGGTTTCTTAACGGATACTAATGTTTAATATTTGCTTCATAGGCTTTGGACATGAATCTGGCCAAATTATCTAGTGCAGTATATGTCCTGTCTCATTGCACACGCGAGAGTAGAATGGTTTCTTAACAGATACTGATGTTTTGGTGCAAATTTGCATTGTACTACTAACTGAAAGCACATAAAAGCTGTAGGAAACTGAACTTGTAGAGTACTTTCGTTTCTTTTGTACATGAATAGGCAGGATTCAGTCATCCTTGTTCTGGAGAAAGCTAAAGAACAAGGAGATAAAACTGCACAAGTGAAGTTTAATGCATGGTCCATCGAAAAACAAGTTTAATGCTAACATTTTTATTCTGAAATAACTTAAATGGAATTTACGTTATAGCCAATTTTGTTATGGAGCACTATTGTCCTGTTTAAATTTTCTTGCTGACAGACTTGGCCAATGGCCACTATAGGTTAATTTTCCTGCATTTTTTCTTGCTAACAAGTTTGGCCTGTGCGTTCATTTTCTTGGTGCAAATTACTCAATGCATATTATTTCTTAAATCTTAAGACCACTAATGATTGCTGCAAGAATAAGAGGTTTAGAAACTGAACTTCCACGGCACTCTTTTGTTTTTGAGATATAGAACTTCCACAGCACACTTTTGACACACGCAAAAATGCTGGATTGAGTCCTCTAAAAGACAGAAAACAGCACAGAATGAAACTTGATGCCGGTGCTTTTTTTTTGAAAATACTTTGCTGATTGCCCCTAACACGGCGCTCGGCAAAGATTCAATATTTTTTTTTTGAAATGTCTTTGCCGAGTGCCTGACAGCTTCGGCACTCGGCAAAGGGAGGAATTAAAAAAATTACATTTTTTTTAAATACCTTTACCGAGTGCCCATGTGAATTACTTTCTTACGCTAATTTATATATACTATCTTAGAGTTTTCAAACTAAAAATTTTAGAAGTTCTTGTAGTCAGGATTTGAAACTTGACGAATGCACTGCAAAAAGACAACCTAAGCGATTGACTGTCTTAACCCATTGCATGGGTAAATAGTACTCCCTCTGCAGCACAGCAAACGATGGAAGAGTTGAGCATGGTTGTTTGGCTGGCTTCTGCTGGCTAGCTGTAGCTGATGGCTGCTTTCTTGCCTACCTCAACAGTGTTTGCTAGTCATTTTCTTGCCCAAAAATAACAAGAATTATCGAAAAGATCCAACAAGGGCAGGGAGTAGCTAGGTAGCATAATGAAGTATTAATTTCTTCCAAGATGACTTGACGAATGCACCCTATGTAAAAAGACAACCTAAGCAATTGATTGTCTTAACGCCTTGCATCGGTAAATAGTACTCCCTCTGCATCGCCCTGACCATTCGGTTAACTGAAACCGATCGGTTCGGTTCTTTATAAAATTCGGTTAGCATAAAACTGGAACCGATCAGTTAGCTAAGAAACTTGAAACCGAGGAAATTCGGTCTCGGTTAGTTCGGTTAGGTTTCGGTTAGAACCGAACTAACCGAGCCATACATTACATCAGCGAAATAGAAGGGAAGAAAAGGGAAAAAATGAAAACCGAGCCATACATTACATCAGCCATACAGTTCGGTTCTTTTGCTATTGGGCCAATATGTACAGATTCGGTTCTTCGGTTTTGTTCGGTTAACCGAGGTCTGTAACCGAATTACCCGATATTATTTCGGTTCATGAGAACTGGGAACCGAACTAGGAACCAAAATTTTCGGTTTCGGTTCCGGTTATTTCGGCGCAACAACTGATAGGGCTGGCTTCTGCTGGCTGTAGCTGCTGGCCGCTTTCTTGCCTTCCTCAACAGTGTTTGCTAGACATTTTTTTTTGCAGCAACAGCGAGCCACGCAGCAGCAACCAGCCTTCCGAAGAACAAAGGATCATGGAAACGAGGCAGCCTTGGAAACGAACGTCCTTACGTTTCCAACGCCGTATGCATCTGGACATACATGTGCCTACCCTGAATAATGCACCTCTGAATGGATCAAGTTTAGGAGTGCGAAGAAGTAGAACAGCCCGTGCCTTGTGCAGCCAGCAGGGCGGACCTGCACTATTGTGAATTCCATCGATCTCAACTGAGTTGTGGCAGGAGAAACCGAGGACGATGAGGCGACCGAGACGAAAGCTGAGATATTCTCGCTCGCAGCTGTGATGCGACTCGTATACTCCGTACGAACAGTTCCATCGACAGCTTCTTGTTTGTACGGTCGTCGCGTCGTCGTCTTCCGGGAACGAACTTGCAAACAATTCAGAAAGTGCAAGCTGTGCATATATGAAAATGTAAGTTCATAACTTGCGGCCAAAAGAGCTGGAGTCCTCAGAGACATCTCTTTTTTTGAAAGGGTCCTCAGAGACATCTCTCACTCGCGCAAAGCCGCAAAGGGCGCAACAACGTACGTTGTGTAGCCGTGCAGGCGTATCCGGACTTGGCTGCCTGGAGAAACCACCATTCTGAACTCAGAATGATTCGTTGAGCTGATCAAGGCAAGACTTTAGTAATCAGCTTGGACGATATCATGCATGATGCCATCGTCTTCGATGACTCCAACCAACAACGTCCCTAACCAGGGGAATGAATGGGATGCATATATAAGTAGGAGAGGCCTGATCGCTACTCATCAGTCATCACTGCCTCTCTTTCACAATTTCAGTCACTGTCATCACATCATCACCTTTCTTTCTTTCACAGT